AAGAATGAGCACACCTCATTCTCAACACCACAGGCTTCCTCTGAGGAGCAGCCAGTGTGGGGAAAGCCCTGGAAGGGGATGGCAGCTGGGTCCTGCCCTTCAGGCACCACCCAGGGACCTTGCAGGGGACGGAGGAATCGTGCTGGAAGAGGGATGATTTGCCAACTGGAAGCCACACCAATTAGGGACAGAAGTTGCAGGGCCCTGTGGAGAACTGCTGAGTGAGGACACGGGGGGAGCAGCAGCTCGAGGTGACAAAAACTGGCCCAAGGAAAGACACAGCAGTTGGTTAATTAGGTGAGGGGGGGACTCCAGAAGATGCATTTTCCTATTTACATGATTTTTATTTCGCCCTCAGTTCACACAGTATCCAAGCAACTCAGAATCCCAAACGGATTTTCTCTTTACGCTCCCCTGGGGAGCAGGGAATGGCCAAGGGCTGGGGGAGCCAAGGCAAAGAGCAGAGCAAGTGGTTTCTCAGCCTGGGGTCAGAGAGACTGTCTGACCACGATGATGCCAGCCCTGCTCAGCCTCTTCACCACAAAGGCCTGCCTTCCCCAAGGGAGGGAACTGCTCAGCAACCTGCCGAGGTTAACTGGGGAGGAAAGGCCTGAGGACAAGAGAAACACTAATCATAGAATCATTAGGGCTGGAAAAAGACCCCAAGATCATCGAGTCGAACTGTTAACTCAGCACCACAGTGTTCAGCACTGAACCCTGTCCCCAGCTGCCACATCACAAAGCATCACAAACACACCTCCCAAATCACCTTGTTATTGTAACAGTTTTCCACTGGGAAAAAACCCATTCTCATCATATCTGCCCCAAGCTGAGGCAGAGCTCTCACTGCACAGCACTGCTGGTCAGCTCAGGAGGGACAGCAGTGAGATGGCCCCAAGGAGAGGCAAGATATGGGTCACTCCAGTCATTCATGGGGGGGGGTTTGCCACAGGCTACATGAAAAGAATTCCTGCATCCTTCTCCACCAGGAAGCCAGAGTTTTCCAGCTGTGCTTCCCTCCATCTGAATGCATTTTCCCCACCACAAAAGCACTCCCTTGTGGATTTTAGACTGGCTGTTCAGTACTGGCACAAGAAGGAACATTGCTGGGTGATGTTCCAGTCACCTGGGTCCAGCACTGTCTCCCTTGCTTCAGCAAAAGGCTTTTGTGCTTAGAAGTCTAATTTAAAAAGTCCACCTGTAAAAGCAGAGCAGAGCAGAATAAGGAATTGAAAGCAGACTGGTAAAAAGCATAATTTTTCTATTCCGGCTGACTCATGGAATCATTTGGGTTGGAAGGGACCTTAAAGATCACCCAGTTCCAACCCCATAGTGAAAAATTCCCTCTCACAGTGAAGGATTCACATTTATAATGTCATGGTACACAGAACGATCGGATCAAAGAATTTTGGGGTTTTCTGGTAGTAACCTGATTATTTATTTTTTTTTGAGCTATTTCCTTAGTCAAGAGATGATGAAGCAGCACAGCCCGAACTGCAGCAAACAGAAGTGCAGAAGTGTTATGGTTGTTCACAGGAAGCTGCTCACAGGGGGATGCAGTTTGGGCTGTTCCAGCTGAGGTTCAGTGAAACATCTGCACAGGGCTGTTTATGCATCCTCACTGCACAGCTGGAGAAGCCTCGTCCCTGGAGATGTCACCATGCAGGTGACATCCAGCACAGACACCTGCCCTTTGATTTGTGTTTTCCGTCAGCAGTTGTGTGTTTTTGAGGGGCACAGGCTGGGATCACACGTTTGATTCACAACTCAGCTCAGTCCTTCAGCACCCACGGAACACAAACACAGCCCCGGGGCTCGTGGGTCAGAGAGGAGGCACCCCTGGAAGGGTCAGTCTGTCCCACACAGCAGCCTTCTCACTCCCGTTATAATCAAGTTGTATTATTTTGGCAAAGCAATTTACTTTTTCAACATGAAGGACTCCTAGAAAGTGAGAGCTGACAGAATGTTTTTTTTGCCTGGTGTCTCTGCAGTCCAGAAGTGGCTGCAGGGACAACACACCAGTTAGAAGTAGTGAGAGGAAAACAAATATCCCTATTTCTGGGAACACTGCAGCTACAACACTTTGTTCTGACTAAATTTGTTCTACTTCCTTGTGGCCTGTTCTCATGCTGCTGTTAACCTCTTCTCAGACCAAGATAGTATTTCTATTTCATGTCCAAAACAAGCCAAGGGCAAAACCCAGAAAACACAGCAAAGACCAGGAAAAAAGAAAAAAGAATGTGTGGGTGGGCAAACACTGGAACAGGTGGTTGAGTTTCCATCATGGGAGATTTCCAAAAACCCAGATGGACATGGTCCTGAGCACTCTGACCCTGCTTGGAGCAAGAGAGTTGGACCAGATGATCTCCAGAGGTTCCTGCCAGTCCCAGAGATCACGTGTGGGCACGAAGGGCTGTTCCCAGCCCCTGGCTGTATTCAGGTCTTGGGCACCGAGAAGCTTCTTGTGAGGAACTTCCCTCTCTCTCCAGGGAAGTCAGAGATGGAAAGCTGACAAAAACACTGAGATGCCATTAAAAAAATAACTAGAAACCCCCCTGCTTTTCAAAAGAGGCCAAGCACTAGGCAAAACTAAAATCACAGGGAGTTTTGAGTAGGGTCTGATCTGGAGCAGTGTTTGCTGGACAATTCTAACAGTCAGCACAGAACCACTGAATGGTTTGGCTTGGAAAGGACCTCAGAGATCATCATTTCAACCCCTTGCTGTGGGCAGTCCTGGGCTTCAAAAATGATTCCAGACCACGTGGTTACTCTTCAGTCCACAGTGCTTAAAAACTTCTCCATATCTTTCCTGCACCAAATAATCCAAAGAGCCTTTTGTCTAGAAACAAGTGAGCAAGTTCCCAGGCACCATTTTCCCATTTAGAGCACTCCAGCAACTCAGTCCCATAGGAAGGACACTTTGCACAGGCTGTTGGCAAACATTCCTCATGGTTTACACCCAACCTGAGGGAAGGAGAAAGTCCTGAGCCCAGCACAGACACACAGAGCCTAAAAATAGTTTTCTGCAGCACAGACAAACCCCAAAGCAGTGTGATTTTTCTAGTTCATTACCTTAAATTATGATCAGTCTTCTCTGGATTGAACACTGCCCAGCTGAAACCACCTGCCTTTGCAGTGCACCTGTGGGGATGACACCCATATTCTCCTGGGAAACCCTGAGACTTCAGGAACTACTTATGCATTAGAAACAAAGGCATGTGGTCTTAAGTTTCCCTGAGTTTTAATTTTTTAAAAGCTCTTGGGTAGGTTTTGATTTTTTTTTTAAAAATCCCATTTATTTAGTCATGTGTTCTGTCCAAATTCCTGATACCAAAAAATTATCACCACCATCCCTACCCTTTGTTCTCTTCCAAGGAGGGACATCAGATTCATTTCGGGAATGAAGATGCAGCTTGTCAGGGGATGGGCTATGGAAATGTTACCTTGCACACTGATGTATTTTTAGCAGCTCAGGGATATTTATAGGGCTGTGAGGGGCTGGTTCAGGGCTGCAGGATGAAGTCAGTGTCCCAGGGGCAGGTTGGAAAAAGCTGCACATCTGCCAGGCAGGGCAAGGAGAAGGCAGTGATGCCTGGAGTTCATGGAAAGGGGAGAGGGCCAAATGCTCCAAGGATGCCTTCCTCCAGTCATTATCAAAAATCAAGTAACTAGGGAAAAGAATTAAAATATTGGCCCTAAATATTAGCTCCTCTTGTATATTCCTTATTATTAAAGGTATTCATATGGTAAAGTGCTGAAGCAGACAAATTCAATAAAGAGAACGCCCAAAACACAGCTCGTTTGGGAAAGCAGCAGGAGAGGAGTCTCAAGAATGAGCACACTGATCACCAAAGTCCCTTCTTCTAAATTTGTGCCACCAGCCCCAGACATCCCCAGCACGTGCTCCAACCTGCCAACCTGGAATCAGTCACTTCTCACACCAACAGGAGAAGCTTTCAGGTGTTTAACAGAGATTTGGTGCCTTCAAGGAACTGTCAAATAGTTCACTGCAGTTGTTCATATCTTTGCTCCAGGCACTCCTAAAGAGGCAAAAAAGGTCTGGCACAAAATATCAGAATAAACTGGAGCAGAACTCCACAGTGCAGTGAGAGCATCAGGTGTTAATTCACCTCAGGCCATGTCTTAGCACCTGTTTTTGGCTGAGGAGAGAGCACACACCTTCACCAGAACTGAAACTGGAATGCAAGGAACGTTCCTGGGCATCAGCACTTCAGAGAAATCTTACTTTCTCTGATATTCTCATGGCCTTCCAGTCCTGGATTTGTCAGGGACACCTGAAGCCCTGCAAGAGCCCAGGTGACACTGAAAATCTGATACAAGCCAGAAGAACCATGTGTGTCACCTGCTTTGGGCTTCTCCCAACTGGGGATGGACAACTACAGACCCTTCCTGGGCAGCAGAAACCAAACCAACACCTATTTCAACATAGAGGTAACACAGAAATCATTATTTTTGTAACCCATTATTCCAGCATTTGCATGTTAAATTTATCAGGACACTTCTCTACCATATTAAACTACATTATTTTGGAACTAGTGCTGATGGAAGAAGAAAACAGAAGGGGAAAAAAAAAAGTATCTGAAAGTCACAGTGACTTAATTTCTAAGATAACAGAGGTTAGGTGAAAACCAAGAGCCCCACCTAGGGGTTACTGTGCGTTCTAACACAGGTGGATATTCAGGACAAGTAAGGTAAATGGGTTTTAGGGTTTGTATTTTTTCCTTTGAGTTACTCCAGTCGGAATTTAACCTTTACTACAATATCAACAGTAAAATCACAGCTTAAAAAAAAAAAAAGACTGAGGCAAAGAGCTGTATTAGACTTTGGATGAGATCTACTTACAGTAGTACTTCAGCACCAAACCGTGGGCAGTTAGGCTTCCACACGTATGTACAATTAAATGATATGGCAAAGTCGTAAAATGCTTAGTTATTTATAATGAAATCTATACAAAACAGTTAAAAACGTGGTTTTATACACATTTGGAAAAAAAAAAAGTCTTGATTACCAGAATGTATTAAAACTGGTTCTCTCCTCCCCTCTGAACCCAAACCTGTCTCTGTGACCTGGAACTATCACAAACCCCAATGTATTGCTTCAACAAGCCAAGGCATAAGGCTCATTTTGGAAACCTGCCCCTGTATGCCCATTTAAGCTTTTAAACTCCCCAAACAGTTAAACTTTAAGAACAGCGTGTAAGAGTAAAATACAGATTTTTAAAAGCCTTACATCACTTCTAAATTCACAAGTTCAACTTGGAAAGACGTTGAACCACTTATCCCCAGTTTTGAAAAACTGATTTATAGCAAAAGACACCCCCCCACTCAGTTTGTATCAGAATTAACACAACTGCCTGTTTCACAGGAACTTTTTCAACAACTTGGCCTCACTTTAATAAATAATCAAAGATTAACTGGAGTAGATGAGCATTTTGTGCACTTATGGCAAAAGAAATGCCTCTTATACCATCGCCCTACTTCTTGTAAAGCATGAAAACAAAATCCACCAGCAAATCCACTTTTCTATCAGTTAGTGATTTTGCTTATTTCCAAACATTCACCAACAAGAATTTAAAAAAAATATATTTTTAGTCTTATGAAAAAAAAAACCAAACCAAATCTTATCTCTAAGTGAGCAAGAAAGCTGACCAATTCCAAAATTCCAGCACTGTCAGAGACACTAGTCTTCTCTCACATGCTGTTTGAAAATACAAGTATTTATTAAATGTTCTCTTTTTTTTTTTTTTTTTGATGGTGTTTTTCTCAAGGAAAGGACCCGGCAAAGTGACGACCCCTTTTCACTGGGAGCTGTTTCAGTATCTGGGGAAGGGCTTCCAGAGCACGAGCTGCAGAGTTTGCTGCAGTGTGGTGTTTGAGCAGGAGTACATTCCACTGTCACAGCTTTACTGAATCTTGGGAACTACATCTTTTCTTCTCTTACTTTTTCTTTTGGAAACAGTTTTGAAGACGCGGCTTCTGCGACGCTGTCTTGTTAAAACACACCGATGCTCGAGGGTCCAACGAACAACTCTAACGGGCAAAGTGCTCCAGGACATCACAACACGAGGGCATCTTGGATCCTCAGAATCCCAAGACATTCTAAAGTGCACTCCAGCGTCCCAGTTGCTCAGGATTGCTCAGCAGAGCTCCGGGAGGGGCTGGGCTCGGGGCCATCCTCGGGGCCACTGTCCCCATCCTGCTCCATCGCCGTCTCCTCGTCATCCAGGCGCTGACTGGTGAAGTTGTTGAGCTCCAGGAGCCCGCTGGGTTCCACCACCACGTTGGAGCTGGAGTGACAAGGGATGGAATAGTGAGGGATAGTCTGAAAGAAAGAAAACATCCAAGTTTAGCAAACGGTTTGGACAGGTAAAGGCGTCTGTGCGAGCACAGGCACTCGGGGAAAAAGGTATTTGGTTTCCAAGGGCAGTTTTCCCCAGCTAAAGGCTTCAAACCATCCTTTCACTGGATTGTGAAAGGTAAAATTTGAATGATCTTCCTCTTCAGGCCCTGATCCTGGCCTTTGACCTTCCCTAAAGGTCTGTGACAGCATAACCAATGCCCATCATCCACTGCTCCCCAAACCTAAAGCAGAGAGAATATTTTCTTCAGCCTTATCTTGTCCTTATCTTTTTCAGACAAGCCATTCTGATGTCCTGGGTTAGAGGAGACTCACAAGGATCACTGAGTCCAACTCCTGGCCCTGCACAGGACACCCCAAGAATCCTGTGTGAGCATTGTCCAGGCACTCTGGGATGACTAACTCTGTTTTCTGTACTAAACTCAATACAAGCTCCAGCCCTGCTCAGGGCTGCAGCAGCACAGAGGCTGTGGAAACACCACAGCTGTTTATTTCTAACCTATTGTTATTATTTATATCTATTTATTTCTGTTTATACTTTCCTAGGTTCTAGAAGCGAAATCTACAACTTCATACAACTGAAATTCCGGGCACTATTTGCCTTTTGAAAGAGCTCAATGGGTGCCACAAGGATAAACAGGACAGGTTGTCAAAACAGAGGTCTGAAGTAAAACAGAAATCTACTTTTGCCTATTTAGGGAAAGGAGGACTATAAATGAGTACAAAAATGATGATTTCTACCACAGAGAAGTTAGTCAGCCCCAGTGAAGATTTTACAAAGTAGCACGAAAAATTTGAGACCTCTGTACACAAATTGTTTCCCACATCAGCAGCATTTTCACTGTAACACAAATGATACATAATACAACCATTTCAATCCACCTCTCATTTGTGTGAGCATAGACTGTGTCAGCTATTACTTATATCCATGTTATACCACTCAGAAGACTTCCATATTTCTTTAGTTGACATTCAGACAACTTATTACAACATAAAACATATTTAAGACAGCAGAATCAATGAAAATATCAAGCATCAGTTAAGCAATAACTCAAGGCATATAGGTTGAAGATCAGTAATCATTTAATCTCAGAAGTGGTAAATCTGGTCATAAGTGAAGTTAAAAAGCTCCCTTTTGAATTCAGACCTTATTTGCTAAACTTTCCCAGTAAGTAAAACTGCATCATGCCATTTTTTGTACTAATTTTATACTCAGAGGTAACATTAATAGAAATTACAAAAGACTCTAGAACACAGTTCTGTACTAGGTGTTTGATGGCTACATTTTTACCCATCTCAAATGAAAGTTCTTTGTAAAATGAGATGAGTTTGGTTGTTTTTAACAGAAGGAGGAAGACACTGAGGATGCAGTGCTAGAGGAACTCCAGCTCAATTTAAGAACAACGGCACACTCTGAAGTAGCAATCCATTACAAGTGTAAGAGTAGAAAAAGAACCCCAAAACCACTCAAACACCATCCCGTGGCTGCCACCCCATCAGCCACGAGTTTGCTCCGCTCAACCTTCTGCCTCATTGGCTCTGCTCTTCCCTTACCTGGACGACGATCTCTGAGGAGCTCTCTTCAGCTTTCTTCTGCGAGAGGTTCTGAATGTGCACAAACTGGTTTGTTGGGGGCACTCCCTGTGCCTCGGCGGGAGCAGCAGCAGGAGGGGCTGGGCTGGGCTCTGTCCGGGGCTGTTGCTGGGGGGTGGAGGTTGTTGCCGTCGTCCCTAGAGCAGCCACCCGAGGCACCTGGGGACAAGGTGACGACTCTGCTTCACTAGAGACTTTACTAGTGGACGTGGCCTGGTCTGGGGGATCCACTACCGTGTGCTCTATGTTTGCATCAGTGTGAGCTTCCACCACAGACACTCTCAAAATATCTGCTACTGCTGCCTCCGGGGGTGCCTGCATGGGAAACAGGGCTGGTAACCGGCAGTGCCAGCTGGGGCACACCACTGCCACCTGCTACCTCTGCAACGACAGGAGGCTGACACCCCCCAGAGTTAGCTCTGTGACAGTGGATCCTTGCATTAGAGTTGGATGTTGCACCTGAAAATCAAATTTTTGTTGTGCATATCACAGTTAATCTTTTCTTACTGAAAACCTAATCAGTATTTCCGAGGACAGAGTGGCACAAACAACATACTTGCTGTTAGGAAGACAGTTGAAACTCAGTGTTTTAACAAAGGAACTAGAAATGATAGGGCGACAGTTAATTGAAGCATGGGGAAAAAGCAGCTTCTTAGGCTGCTAGGTAAGGATTGTAGCAGTATAATACCACAGCAGCCTCATTTTCCTTTGGGATTTACAGCCCCATGGGATGTCTGCTAAAGCCTCTAGTTTTCACATGTATTCCTGAAAGGGCCAAAAAAAAAAAAATTAAAATTGTACCTTTCTGGAGTTAGTTAAAATACATTTTTTTTTCCATGTTCCTCAGTCTTTACATTTTTCCCTCCCAAGGAAAATCAAATTACTCCTGTACATGAAAGCCATATAACTTCAGGAAGATGTAAACTACAAAGGAAGAGGAACAATGGAGAGCCTTAGGAGACTGCAGTCTTCACTTCCACAGAAATAAAAAGTGCTATGGGAATGGAAATTAGTAACGTGTCACACCTACAAATTAAAAGAAAATAACTAGGGACAAACTCCATGCACCAGTGGTGGCTGAAATCAATAAGAACTGTCCAACAAAACACGTTTGTGAGCTCTATGGATCTTTCCCCTGTAACATGTGCTGCTCTTCCCTAGTGCCAACCTTCTGGCAATGGACACCAGCGGAACGAGGAGTTCTCGTGCCAGGACAAAACACTGCTACACAGCCCAGGGCTGGCTGGGTGGTTTTGCCTGACCAGCAGGACGTGCATGCTATCAATATTCCGTTACCTGGCTCGCTGGCTGCTTGTCTGAAGAGGCAGGGAGCTGCACTGGGCTCGGGGGGGGCTGGGGTTGCACGTAGATTTTTTGTGCCGTTGGTGCCTGCTGCAGTTTGGGCAGCTGCTGCGTGGTTTTTACTGCCAGCACCTGCACTACAGTTTGCTGTGGCTGTGCCACTAAGGTGGGGAGTTGCCTCTCTTTGGCCATCATGTGGTGGGGGGGGTGCTGTGCATCTGCTTTGCTCTGTGCTTGCTCCTGCTGCAGGGGGGTTAGCTTTTGATGCCTTATGGAAAGCTGGGGCATTTGCGGGAGTTTGTGCTGGATCTGGTCGGCCTGCAGGTGGATTGTCTGCTTCTGCTTGGTCTGGAAGCACTGCAGAGTTTTCACTTGCAGTTGAGTCTGTTCCAGCTGTGGCTGACTCAGTTTTTGCTGCTTTTGTGCCTGGGACTGTGTCAGGGCAGATCTGTAAAAGAGGCCAGTCTGAGGATCTAAGGTGTCCATCTCTTCCACTTCTCCCTCCTCGGTCCCAAGTTGTTCACCGTGTTTCGTAAATGCAGTGTGACTGCTTAAGGCCTTAAGGAGAAGAAGTTAGAGCATGTTAGTGAAAAGAAAATGTAAGAATACACAATCTAGAAATAGTTTTTCATGTTTCAAATGGACTACTTTAACTTATTTTGCCATCACAGGCTCGCAATTCGTGTATACAAAGATAGTATTACATGGGATTCCACAATACATATGCAAGAAATAGCTACTTTTATCATGTTAAACTGTGGTACATCTCTAGGTGAGAACGTTAACTGCATCACTAATCCTCAGGGGGGTTTTGTACACCTCACTTGAGTCAGACTGAGGTTCAAAGCCCCCCAGGGTTGCCTAGCAGGTGGACATGAAGCAGCAGGGAGTAGTAGGCAGCTGAACCAATAGCTCCATGTTCAAACCAGAGTCTCTCTGCACAATTTTTACTCTGCCTCTTGAAAGCCTAGTCATCTTATCCATGATTTCCTCTGCAGGTCCCCATAGGCCTACAGTCTACCTTATTTCAGCAGAGATCCTCCCTTCTCCTTCCTTTCTCCAAACTGCAATTTTTCTTGGGTGTTGCACAAACGTCTGATTTTCTGAGGGATTTGAGGGAGTGAGCAACCTACACTCTACACTTTGAACACCACAGGATAAAGGTGGCCTCAGCAAGGAGGAAGCAGCCTCCTCCAACACCCATGGAAATCCACCCCCTGACAGGGGTTTGGAACCCTAACACAGAACTGTTCTGCAGCACAGTTGAAGTGCCCAGAGCTTAAAGCCCTGCAGAGCTGAGCAGGCCCTGACCAAAGGCAAAGGAGTGGTTTCAGTAAGACTTCACCACAAGCTGCAGTGTTTGTTTGAAGTGTTTGGGATCCTCATGGTACTCATCTAAGTACCATCTGACTTCTGATTCAGAGAAGTTTGCCTTTTCACCGGCTGAGGCCCTCAGACGGCAGGGACAGTGTGCGCTCTGGGTACTGCCCAGGTTCTGCTCAGCCCTCCTCCCCCTGCACTGCCACCAACATCAGCTGAAGAGTCCATGCCCCTGCAACACAACCACCACCCTCACCACCAAAACACAGTCATAGAAAGGTCTGGGCTGGGAGGGACCTTAAAGGCCATCCAGTGCCAGCCCCTTCCATGGGCAGGGACATCTTCCACCAGCCCAGGTTGCTCCAAGCCCTGTCCAACCCGGCCTTGAACAATTCCAGGGATGGGGCAGCCACAGCTTCTCTGGGCAACCTGTGCCAGGGCCTCCCCACCTTCATAGTAAAGAATTTCTTCCCAATATCTAATCTAAACCTGCCTTCCTTCAGGTCATTAAGGTAATCCTACAGTTACTAACTTGCCCGTACACCGAACGTTTTTGGTGGCAGCAACACGACACATTCACCCAGAACAAGCCCTGGTCCTGTACAATTCATAGAGCCTGCTGCTGTGTACAGACTGCTGGGAAAAGAAAGGGTCCAACCTGCTGCATGATGTGGGTGATGGCACCCGTGGAGGAGGCGGGGATGGATTTCACCACCACGGAGGTCTGCGTTGCGGTCTGCGACTGCGCCACGTGCTGCAGGAGGGTCCGCGGGGGCTGTGCCGGCGGCGGGGGCTGCCGATGGCTCACTGCAAGCAAAGAGGTCAGTGCCACTCCTCCAGAGCCTCCTCAGGGCTGCACCAGGGCACTCCAGCCTCAGCTGGCAGCACGGAGGAGCGGGAAAGGTCCCTTTGCTCCGGCCTCGAGGGGCACAGCTACTCTGAGAAACCTCCCCGGGGGGCTCGCTTTGCTCTCTGTTTCCTGAGTCACCACGCTCGGTCCAAAGCTCCTCTGGCCTCCCTCTCCCAACACACCAACTCTGCTTATGCTCCATTGTCAGCTGGGTTCTTTGTACAGCACCAGTATAACATGCAGAGCACGAGTTAATTCTGGTTTTACGCTGGTAAAAGCACCTCCACAACTGACTGCAATTAAGAACAGCAAGCCTTGCTCACTGAATTTCTACCACTGAGAAAATGCACAAAAGACCCTCCAGAGCACAGGCTAAATTTGGGAGATTAACACGTAGAAAATATTTGGGTATTATGAAAACAAGGGAGGCTGATCCGACATGACCTTGTCACAGGTCTGTGTCACTTCTGAGAACAGATCCAGCACGAGTTACAGAGTTGTGGTGTGGGTCTGTAATTAAATAGGGGATCAAGAGAAAAACTACGTGCTGCTGAGAAAAAAACCCAAACAAACCATTCTATATTGTAGTCACTGATATGAATCCAAATCACTTTATACCTGTCCATATTAATAGGCAAATATTTGCTTTATATCTTAGTTACAAAATACTTCATAACTGAAGGAGAAGAAGCAAAAAGTTGTAAATTCAGTTGTAGCATAACTTAAAAAGTTTCTAGTGACCTTCCTGATTGTTAAAAGGAAGGTCATATTTTGAATTAATATGGTAATTTTCCTTTCTCACTCCAAGAAAGGAGATGGATTATATCAATACCAGCCTGCATGCTGTGCCAGATTCATCCTGGACACCTCCCAACAGTTCCTAAGCAATTGAAAACTTAATTTAAAAGTAAAGTTTCTAACCTATATGGTTGTGTAGATATTCTTCCGAATGTGAACCAATACAGTGTTGTCTTCCTGAGTCTGCAGACAGACAAGAAATGGTGACACTGAGATGTGTGAAGTGCTCCCTTCACCTCAGGAGGAAGCACATGCCGAATCCCAGCTCCCCCAGGGATTGCAGTGTGCCTAATCCTTTGGTCCAGGGGCACGCAGGACATTTCACACCACACTACAGACTCTTTACTATCTTACTACTGAATTTTTAGCAGAAAATACAGCTCTGTGGGTTACTGATAAATCCAGAGAAGCGCGAATTAAAAAAGAAGAAACACTCAATGACCTGCATTCCCTGGCAGTGTTCACAGAAACTGGGGGAAGGGACAAAAATCTAAGAGCAAAATAAACACTTTTGTGCTGCAGCAGAACCTGCTGCTCCTCTGCCCACAGCAGCCTGCAATCCTCTGGGAGATTCCCAGATTTCAAATCAATGTTTACAAAACTCCCAGTGTTTCAAACAGTGGCATCTCCAGGAAGTTCTCAGCTTTTGTACTTTGCGTGGCTTCTAAGCTGCAGAAAAGGACAAAGACACTGACTGCAACTCCCCATCCTGCCTGCCAAAGGCCCTATTTTACCTCAACTTGCACAGCAAGACCTGTCAAAAACTGGAACCTTGACCATGTGCTCAATGCACAATATCCGTGCCAGGGAAGGAGAAGTGCTCTCCAGTTAGCAGGCAGTTATTTGTTGTGCTTTGGAGTTTGTTTTAAGAGAGATCCGAGGGAGCAGGACTCAAACATTCAGAATTGTAGCAGATACAGTAAGTGTTATTTAGAAGAATAACAATAACATCCTCCCCAGCTCCAGTTTCACACAAATTTAGGCCGTACAAGGGATGGAAGCGAGGGGAGGAAGCACAGAGCAAAATATCAGATTAGACATTTAGCACTAAACCCACTGGAGTTACAGATATGTACCTAAACAATTCAATACAAGTTTTATTTATTCCTATATTCAATGTGGATTTTCAACATGCTTCTGCTTTCCTTTTCCAAAGAAAGCAGGGAGGGAGACCAACAGTGTGGACTTAAGAAATTAAAATGGAAAACAGGCAATTTGATCCTCTCACGAAGTGGCTCACACCTAATGTTGGGGAGCATCAGAGAGACAAGGACTTACACAAAATGGATGTCCAGATAGGAGGAGTCAGGAGTTTAAAAAGTTAAGCACTGAATTCCAACCAGAATTTGAATTATTTAAAGTGTAAATTTATCAGTTTAAAGCTTTCTAGCAAATGAAGAAACTGGGGACCACATTAGCATGCTAAATGCACACCTGGCTTTAACTCAGGACTAAATGGGTTTTAACTCAATGTCTGACTCCTCTCAATATGTACAAAAAACAGGATACAGTTCCTGTAACTTCACCTTCCACTTTGTCCTTACTGGACATTTTCCTTTAAGACAAGTGGGACAGTCTGTCTTCTTCATCCAGGGACCAGAAAATCTATTCAACCGTGATGTCTTAAAGCAACAACCCTTTGTATCAGTTAGAAACATGTTCCCTTATGGCCCAGTAAAGCAGATACAATCTCTGTCCCCTCACAGGGTCTCAAGAATGGAAGAAAAGACTCGTTTCCTCCACAGAAAACTACAGTGAAAACATGAAAGTGAAACCTATTGTGAGAAAACTCCAAAATTAAGTCCCCAGACTTCAACTGTAAACCCACCATCACACTGCCTTAGACACACACTTACCAGTTGTGATATATTCAGCCACTAATTCTGACTCTACAACAGCAATTGAAGGACTTTCTGGGGAATGCCTCTTTTCTTGAGTCATCTGGATTGGAACAGCCATCTGGCTCAGGTCAATGGTGGGCTGCCTTGGCTTCGATTCCAACTTCTCCTTCACTGCTTCAAGCAGAAAAACATTAAGTCAGCCTCTAACATATAAACCTCCATAATAAAACAAACCTCCAATATAAATGCACCAGTTCAATTAAACAGATCATGAACACTAGAGAACAGATGCACCAAATACATGCAAACAAACTGATACAGGATAAGAAGAAAGGAACCAAGTTGATTCAAGAGAGGTGCTTTTCAATTACAAAACTTATTACAAAGGGCTGCTTAAGCAAAAAATAACCTTTGAAGTTATCCTAGACAATCTCATGGGTTTTCAGACCTGTTGTCTGCTGAAGTTCCAGCAAAGCTTTTATTGTGGAAGTAGCTGACTGAGATTCACTGGATACATCCTGGTAAATTATTGTAGGGCTTGTGTCCACAGCAATTTCATGTTCTGACCAGTCTTGACTTCTTGAAGCAATCACATGGACCACAGGCTGGGAATCTGTTTGTTAAAGAACAAAGGCACATCACAGAGTCATGGAATGGTTTGGGTTGGGAGGGACCTTAAACCTCATCCAGTGCCACCCCCTGCCACGGGAAGGGACACCTTCCACCAGTCCAGGCTTCTCCAAGCCCTGTCCAACCTGGCCTTGGACACTTCCAGGGATGGGGCAGCCACAGCTTCTCTGGGCAACCTGTGCCAGAACCATTTTGGGCTGGAGGTCTCTTGTCTGACTTCTCGCTTTAAAGCAGTTTAAAATTATACTAAGTTATTCATTATTCATTAGAATTTTGACCACTGCCAAGGATGCACACTCTGATTCTGCAACACTAGTTTCTATTACAATTGACTCTTGAAGTAAAACACTGCTGATGTTATGAACGATTTCCAGGAAAAAAATCCTGTATCTTAGTTTTTTTCAAAAGACTTTGTTCCAAAAAATCAAAATTCAGAAGGTTTCTTTGTATGTTGAATTTGCCTTGGATTGAACTAGGTTTTTTCACAAGGTTTTAGCAGTTCAGCATTCTGAATTAATGGCTCCTAAATTTTGATAAGTTGTTTGAATCTTCAAAACTTCTTAAAATTCACTTAAAATGGCAGTATAGACCAACAATCACAGAATTATACAGAAGGGGTACAAAGGATTCTCTGAGACATTTGCTTTTATTTGCTGCAGTGACACATCCTCTGGTCACTTCCAACCAGAGGCTGGGTGCTGTTTATGCCCTATTATTTATGCTCCTCTTCTACACACAGAGTTGCACCTGTGCCATGGCTTGAAGCCAGGGCAGCATTCCCATCGGGACTGCATGTCTGATCCATGTCCTGGTGCACATGCATGTGCATTTATAAAAGGACCAGAATCTGTGCTGTCCCATGGCAGCTGTCAGTCATGCAGCAGAGATGCTGTCACACAGGGAAAACCAGGAACTGCCAAAATAACCCCAAAACCTGCTACACTGCCTGTCCCCTGGCAGACCCCCAGACACAGGGAACAGGGGGCCTTGTGTGACAAGCTGGAGCCCAGCAAGGAATCGCTGTGTCCACTTTTCAGGAGAAATGCCAGCGCACAGTAAGCAGCTCAAAAGAAAGATAAACAGAAAAATAAGGGCACAGTGGCACTTTGGTGTAACAGCCTGGGTGAAAACCCGTGCTGGCAGGAGACACACAGTTATGTGACACCTTGGGGATAGTCCCCTTGGGGTTTTCTGTGACACCAACACACCTTGAGAGCTCTGGGAGGACTCTGTGGACGAGGAGCTGCTGTCGGTGTAGGTCTGTGGTTCCTCCTTCACCTCTGGCAGAGCTGGGGTTCCTGTCTCTGCCACCCTGGATGCCTGCTGCAACGTCTCAGTCACCAGCTGCCTGGTCTGCTCACTCACCACCGTGGCCTGGAACGTCACTGGCTTTGGTTTGATCAGGACCTGATCACACAGATACATTTGTGTTCAGTCAGAGCACTTGAGAAAAGGGGTCTGAGCAATCAGAGCACAGGGTGCCACCAACAGACCTGGGTGCACCACCTACATAATATACACGTTAGTCACAAATCTACCTCTAAATTCAGCAACTGATTATTAAACCACAAAGCCCAAGTAAATGGCAATGCACAAGAATGCACTTCTCACTCAGTAATTTGAAGTCTTAACAAAATAAACCGCTAAAGAGTCATTTTTCAGGACTAGATACTACTCTAGTGTGGTAAGAGAAAGCTGTGCAAGTGAGCTGGGACATGCACTGCACTGGGAAGGACAAGCACCTCCACAGGAAATCCAGTCCTGAACTATCAGGCACACAACACGTTATACCTGATAAAAGTTTAATTCTTTTAAACACTAAGTGCAGCCAGAGAAAAAGCTGAAACTGAAAGCACCCAAAAATGAGCCTGACTCTGTGTATTTAGCCCCATCAACCACACAGGGTTGCAGGGACAACCTGAACAGACACTGAGCAGAAAATAAACTTCAATAAAACCTCAGATTTGATGGACGACCTATGTCCAGACCGTGCATCTTTATTTCCCAGGATCTAACCATCATCTGTCAGACTTAAACAGGCACCTAGAGCCATGACCAGACAGTTTCAGCTCTGGAACAGGCTTAGTAAATCCTTTTGGCTTGCTCAGGCCTCCAGAAAGAGCCAACAAATGCAAATGCTGCTCAAGAAATCAGAATCAAGGCCACCTCGTTCCACCACTGAGTCTCATTCCCCACAGACATATATTAATCCTGCAACAAATGAGGCAACACAGTGAAAAATGATTTACTTCCCATTAAAATGGAGGGGTACATTCCAAGACAGAAATGGGTCCTCACTGTACCTGCGTTTTCCCTTGCTGCCCATAAACAATTTTAGTTGGGATGATTTTGGTGGCTGGCTGGACCGTGGACCCTATTCCTTTGGGCTGTGTAACAATCATTTTTGTGATGGGTCTTGTGGCAGTGATGATAGCAGGTTTTGCTCCTGCTGGCACTGCCTGAATAGTTTTCTCCCCCTGTAGAGAAGCCAAAGTTTACAGGTTAACTTTATGAAACTGTTCAGTGAGACCCACTTCTCTAAAAAAAAAAAAATATAGTTATAGATGAATGTGTGTACCATGAAATAAACTTGCTGCTGCAACTAGACTTACTTGAGACAAAATACATCAGAAGACCAAGAACAAAAGAACCTACAGCTTTGAATGGAAAAAGCTACCAAAATCCCCTTTTCCATTACTTTACCTTCTGAACAGCTCTGAAGGGGTGAATAAAAAGGAGTAACTAAAAGACACTGAGAAGTCTTTTGAAGTTGCTTCAAAGAGTTTACCTAAGTTGGAACTTTCCTCAAATCTTTCACAAATGTTTTTGAAAACCTCTAATTTCTATTAACACTGACTGTGGCAAGACATCTACAAAACTTGAACTGAGATTCTAAAAGGGAATTATTTAAACATAGATTTTTGTATTATCCTCAGGGTCAAGACATTAATTACACATGGACTTCTTTTAAACAAAGTTCACTTCATCAACAAATGCAGATTCACAGCTGTGCCACAGGAATCATTTGACTATGGAATAGTGCTGATATATGAACAGACTCCTCATAGCTTAAGAGCAAAGACGCTGAACGTGGTTTTTTTAAGCTCTGCAGAGTAACAAACCAAATGAGTAACAACATTAGTTGCCAGTTCTCCTAATATTCCTACCAATATCCACCAAATAGGAGGAAATCCCGAAAAACATACTTGTTTCAGAAATATCCTCCCATACTCCTAGTTCCTATTGTGTAACAAAATAAGATTTCCACTTGTCTGAAAATACATCTTGAATTCTGAAAATCAGGAAAGTTCAAAATTTAAAAAAAAAAAGAAAAATTCCTAAAAGATTTAGAAAAAAACCTCTGTAGTTCTGCTACTAAGCAGCCTTTAAAATGTTACATTAAATGCATTAAATCTCACAGTTCAATGTAGGAACATTCATTATTTTCATTTACTAGTACTTAGAGGTGAACTCAGTTGATGCTGGAAACTGGATTTTATTCTTAGTACACGTGTCAGGTTATCCAAAAAATAATTCAGGACAGTACAATGCTCAGGTACAGGATGGTACAGTGTCACACACCACATATACTGAAAGGGGGTTCCCCTGCTGGGAAGGCACAATTTATTTCTGCCTGTTTAATATGAACAGTTGGGGATACAAGTTTATAACCCAGGACCCTGGTTCTCCCTAGAGCACAAACAGGGGAAGATTCCAGTCATGTTCATCTACTTCATCACTTCAGCATCACAAAGGGAAAAAAGGCAAGTTCAAAAATTTCTATTTTCCTTTAACTCTGAAAACATTCCCAGCTGGCTTTAAGCACAGAATCCCATCCTGTGGCCCACAGTGGCCTCCCAAACAGCCCTGACACCAAGGCATGCTGGGTCTGTTAAGGAGTTCATGCAGTGGGCTTTCCAGAGAGCCCTGGGCAGCAGGAATGCAGCAGCACACACAGCTCACCTGGCTCAGGGGCACTCAGAGCCTCACTTACCCCCGCGTTCAGCAGCGTCGTGACAACGTTCTTGCCTGGAAGCCCTTGGATTGTAGTTCCTTTCCCAGTAGTCTTTTGCACAACAATCACATTGGGTTTGGATGTCATCGGAATTGTGGTGATTTTGGTTGTAGTTCCTAAATTTTTGCGGGAAAAGAAACAGTGTGCAGTTTATCCCATTTTGTGTATTCCCCTTCACTGTGGAAGTCAGGGAGCTACAGAAGAATCATTGTATTTAAATCTGACAAGCACAACAAGAAGCCAGACTCATCTGGAATGGGAATCATTATTATCCTCATCAGGATCAGTCACAGCTTTCCCCACATTAGCTGGTGCTCAGGAGAATGATACTTGCACTTGTGTATAAATTCACTAGTAGGCCTAGAAATCATCTTAACAACTCATCATACCCACAACAGGCTAAAAAAAGTTACTTGCTCCCAAAGAACTGCTGCAGCATCCCTATATATGATTTTGTAGAAATCAAGACCTGAAAAAACTGAGGTACCTCTGCCAGATTCCAGGCCAGAGTGGGTTTCCTGAAGAGCTTGTGCAGCAGTTTCCAGGGATGGGAGCTGGCAGGGGCCATGTCAGGTCTTTGCTAAGCAAAGCTAAAGCCAAAACATATGCTAAGAAATTGTTACTGGTATAAGTGTGCTTGGACCTGGTCCTAAAGAAACCCTATCTTTAGAGGCTGGAGAATCCCAGAATGGTCTGGGTTGGAAGGGAACCTTTAAGATCATCCAGTTCCACACCCTGCCATGGGCAGGGACACCTTCCACTAGCCCAGGTTGCTGCAAGCCCTGTCCAACCTGGCCTTGGACACTTCCAGATGTGGGGCAGCCACAGCTTCTCTGGGCACCCTGTGCCACTCTGGAACTGGCAGAGAACCCAGGCTGGTCAGCAGACTAACAAAAATAAGCAGCAGGGTCTGCACGAAGCTGGGAGGGAAAGCTTAAGTTAGAACGTGGGCTAAAGGAAGGACAGGCTGACACTGATAAAATACCAAATAAGGTGGAGACTGCACAGCTGAATTTAACATATACAATTCATTTTTATTCTGGTTCTTTGGACATGTAGTAGAACAGAGAAGGGCAGCATCAAGATTATAAAATGCCTTGAACTGGGGCCAATGGTGTTTTCTAACCTTTCTGCCCACTGTACAGCACAGCAGTCCCACCCCACATTTCCCTTTTCCTCCCAGGCTTCCCTCACATTTGATGTTTCCTTCTTAAACACAAGAACTGCTGCCATCCTTGAGAACACTTCACCTTCACAACTTCTACCTATTCCTTTCCTCTTCATGCTCAGCTACTTTTCTTCTGAATTCTCCAGTAAAGCTCCTAATAACGATTTCAGCATGGAACCCACCGGACAATCCGAGCAGGCCTAAAGTTATTTCTGCAGTAAGTCTTAATATCAAGGTACTCATATGCCTACCAGAGACAATATTACTGCTGATAATCTTCCCTCCCAGAGTGGCCAGAGACTTTGGGACCACGGTGATGATGCTGCCACTGGTGGTTTTGACGTAGGTGGCAGCCCCTGGCGCGCCAGCCATGCGAGCCCCCAGGGACGGGCTCACCGTGGGCCGGGTGTACGTCGCTGGAGTGCCTGTTGGAAAGAGAGAAGGAGAAAGTTCACTGTTAGAACACGATCCTCTGCCAGCTATTTGTGGAAAAATAAGTTAGTTTAGGAAAAGAAACCAAGCATCAGATTTATTCAGAGAGATCCCACACTGCGGTCTGTTGCCACCCTTCGCGATTCTTTAGTAGCTTTTTTATACCAACTTTAAATTAACATCCCAGTCTTCTGAAGTATTTTAACAAATGTTCCATGACTGCCTTATTTTAATTCATGTCCTTGTGCCTAAGGCTGTAATTCTCAATAGATGTTTGGATTCTGCCAGTGTTTTTGCCTTGTGCTCCCTTAGAGACCCAAGAGTCAGGCACCTGATTGCACTTCTAAAACTCATCCCTCCCTATCATGAAAGACACTCCTCTTACAGGACAAGTTGTTTACAAAGAGCACCAATGACTGCTCTAAATAACACTCTTAGAGAAAAACAAAATTTACCATGATGATGCAATTCTATGGACTTAGCACACAGCAGCACAAAAGAAACCTAACACGTTAAAAATGCCGTTTTTTCAGAAATAGTCCTTTTCTGGATGGAAACACAACAGAGTCTACAAAAGAAACTTGCTCAAAAATCATAAGTCAGCAGCTCCACAAACACTGCAATTCCATTCTGCTTGTAGTGCTGCAGATAGCACACTTAATGGGTAAAGATCACAGAGCAAAACAATTTGTTACAGTGAGAAAGATGTGTGCACAATACATGTTTTACCAACTAAATAAACTGCAAAATTGCTATTTTTTTAAAATGAATTCAAGAATGCACCTGTGAGGTACCTGAAAAGTCGTAAAAACAACATGAACCCCTAGTTTATGCTAAGGATAAGAGGAGATGGCCTCAAGTTGCACCAGGGGAGGTTCAGGTTGGATGCTATGAAAAAACTGCTCATGGAAAGGGTGGTCAGGCATTGGAACAGGCTGCCCAGGGAAGTGCTGGAATCCCCACCCCTGGGAGTGCTCCAAAGGCACGTGGATGTGGCCCTTGGGACAGGGTTTAATGTGAACATGGTGGCATTGGGTCAGTGGTCGGACTTGGTAATCTCAGAGGGCTTTTCAAACCTTAACATTTCTATTACTTGAATATTCCCAACCCATGCTAAAAAAACCAGGAAATAAGAGTTTTCTGAAAACCAGGATAAACTGCCTTTCAAGTTTTCCTCATGCAAGTTTACAGTCTGAACAGCCTGCATTATTTCTGATCTTTAATCAATTACAAACACAAATACAATTAGATGCCCAGAAAAACACTGGGAGTTGAAATGTCAATTTACTGGCCTTTCTATAAATTCACTGCAGGACTATGAGCAAGTCACCTGTCTTTTAAAGCCCATATATGTAAAACAGGAATGATGCTGACCTGTCTGCTGGAGTTAAATCAATGTAAATTTTGCAATATAACGTGCTACAGAAGTGCAAAGTATCTGTAGAAGCTGAAAGAAAACTTCCTTTAAAAAACCCCAGTGGGGAAGGAACAATGATATTTTTGTGTAGCAATTCAAAGATCCCAAGAAGAGTAAAAGAGCCCTCAGTGCACAAATCCTGACGTAGAATAAATAACAGCAGGAGTGTGAATGTGCTGTTGTGCTTCCTGCTCAGGAGAGAGAAGTGGGGGTTTTTAACCCTACTGAGCCATGTCTGGTCACCTGGATGTCTGGGTTTACCCTCCCTTCCCTTCTCAGAGCCAGAACTTACCAGTGGGAGTAGTGCCCAGTTTAGTTGTCATGATAGTCCCATTACTGCTAACCACCATAATGGGTGAATTGCTACTGCTGGGCAAGGTCGCTGTAACTGGTTTGGGAAGGATTTTACTGGGCTGCACCTGTTGAGTGATTATTTTAACACCTAGGAAAGGAGAAAGTCACTGTTAAAATACAGGCACGATAAGTTACTCTCTGAAATGCTTTCTCAGACCAAGGCCCAGTGGGCAAGTAGCCCCACGAGGCTTCAATTCTGAGCCCATGTATTCTTGATCCTGAAAAAAAATTATTTCATTTTTGAGGGCTGGGTTTTCTTTGCTTGGGTTTGGGGTTTTTTTGTTTGTTTTGCAAATACCAAGGCAGCCATCATCTTTGCCTTTCAAGTGCCTGTTTCAATTCCTAGCTACTCCCACTGGAGCATAGGATTCCATACCATCATTGCTTTGTTTGATGTAATTTTTAAACTTTTCCTGGTCCACGATTCAAAAAGAAGAATGTTTCCCAGGAGCCAACAGGTTACAATCAGGACTGAATTGGTTCATATATAATGAACCATCTAAAAGTGAAGTAATTCTTCAACAATTTAGTCTGTAAATCCTAATGGGTCTTAATTAGTCTAACAAATTTAAAAAAAGCCTTTTGCACAAAGAGCATTAGTGACTGTAAGGAAGCAACTGTGACCCTGGCTGGGGAAGGTTATTTTAAGTAAACTGTTCTCTTTCCTCTTGATTTATTGGTTACCTTGAAGCCAAAAGGAACTGGGCTTAAAAAATGGTATTTCTAAAGAAACTTTTACCTAAAAAGCACATTGAGCCTAAACCCACGGGAGAAGACAAGGAGTGAAGCTCTTATTGATCAAATATTGTTCAGTGATGGGAGGATGGAAGCCTTTTATCTGCCTTCATTAGCAGCTATTTTTTCCTCAAGCAATGGTCCGAGAATCCTTAAGGAAGTTTTATCAAAGGACAGAAATAGCTCTGTTTATTTTTTTGTTCTATGGTCTATATTAATTCTTTGATCTAAACAGTATGACTACAAAATGGTAATTTTACTGACATGATTAATACAAAATACTAATTTTATGTTAATATATATATAAAAATACTTTGCACTTTTATAGCATTTCTTCCTTTAGAAGTGGGTAACTTTGCAAGCATTACTTCTTACTGAGATAAGAACTGTATGCTACTGCAGAGAAAAGCCAAGGAAGAAAGATTACATGACTTGCCCAAAGTCAGCTGAATGAATCAGTGTTACAAAAAGGATCCAGTCCAACTTCCAGATCTAATTGTATTTGTTTTGACAAGTACCTCAAAAGTAGGGTTTGATTTCTGGACCAAAGAAAAGAATTAAAACATGGATTAACTTCTTTTTCCAGTTGATACAGTTGAACAGCTCCTGGATCTTCAGAAAACTGGTCTCTTCCAGGCTGCCAATCACATTACTTTTGAAGTCATTTACATACCTCTCAACCTCTAGAGATAAAACATGGTCTGTAACACCTGAACCAAACAAGAAGAATGAAAGAACCAAATTCTTTAATGAACGTTGGCTGCAAACATGCAAACATCTCCTCCTGCCGAGGTCAGAGCCCAGCGCTGCGCTCAGGAGATCATCCAGCTCCCCGTGCACAGCGTGGGCAGGACCCCGCGGCCACAGCTCACCAACACGACCCCAGAGCAGCCCCCACTACCTGATTCCTGCTTGATCTGAATGGTGGGCTTGATGCCAGGGGGCAGCTGGGCCTGCTGGGGCTGCTGCTGGGCCCCCGAGGAGGGCACCAGCTGCTGCTGCTGCTGCTGGGCCGGCGGAACCTGGGTGGCAGTCTGCTGCTTGGGAGGCTGCTGGTGCTGCTTGGGGAACTGCGCCAGGAGCTGCGAGGGGCTGCCCACCAGAGCCTTCGGGGAGGGCAGCCTGGTGGAGGCCACCTTGATGGCTGATGTGGACACACCTGCGGGAGAGCAAACGGGGGGAGAGTGAGCAGTGCATCGCCAGACACTGCCATTCCCAAAACAACTGTGCATTCCAACTGGCTTTGCTGCTGGAAAAGGCATGGGGATCTGTGAGGGAACAAAGCTCCCACGTAGCAGAACTGCTCTGTCAGGAGGCAAGGGAGTTTAACTTTCTTTACATTGGGAGGGATTATCAGTTTATGTCCCAAAATGTTTCACCAGCATCTTCTGCACTGACACTGACAGCTGGAAAAAAAACTGTTACAGAGATTCTCCACCTACTGTATTTTAGAATTAAAAAGTCTCTTCCACAAGCAAACCCAACTAAAAATCAATGGTTTCAACAGTCTGCTGTAAGCCCTTCTGCTCTGTGGATTAGTATCTGATTATATTAATAGAAGCAATATGGAAGGAAAATACCTCGTCAGCCTTGATATGGTTACCCAGTTTTGTAGTGTGGAACAAGAATGGAAAACACAAGCCAGGAAAAACTGTGATGTGACACTTGTCACTGTCAGGTGGGGGTTTTTTAAGTGCTGCTCATTAAGATCCCTTCATTCACTCCCAGCTTCCCTTTCAAAGGTTAGCTGGTGGCTGTGAAGCTGAACAGTCCAGCTGGCACACACAGCTGCAACTTGAAATCAGAAACCTGAAAATTTTAATCAGGTCCACTCAGGCCTTAATTATAAAGGACTTTAGAACTGACGTGCTGATAAAATACACAGATAACAAGATGTAAACGCTTCTCTACCTCTCATAATTGTCATCGGGGTGTGTTAAACTGAAGTTGTGTTTCTTTGATGTTAGCTTTGCATGTTTTTGTAAACCAGGCTTTTAAGAGAAGCAATCACCTTCAAATATTGGAAACATCCCCTTCCATGCAGCAGGTGGAGTTCTCAAAGCCAGTCATTTGGAGGCTACAGCGTTTTAATGATCAAAAACTATGTCACACCACCCCACCACATTCCCCCTGAAAAGAGGATCTGCACACTAACTGTTGAAGTAAAGAGGAAAAAGAGTTCAGCAAGAACTTTTGTGGAGTCTCTTGGCTTAGTTCCATCAGCAGGCTCCTCCCACATCTCCTGTGCTTTACCCATCAGACACCAAGTGACGCTGCCCGAAGCGTCATTCTCCAAAGCGCAATCCCTCGGATAAGACCCCCTGGAAAGGCAGAGTCAGGGCCATACCTTGTGCCACGGTGGACATGACCACGGAGGGCGTGGAGGACACGACAGCAGTGACAGCAATGGTGCTGGCAGTGCAGGGGGCAGCGGGGCAGCTGCTGCTGTTGCTGCCCACCGAGGGCTGGGCCGCCGTGATCACCACCGGCGGCTTCTGCGTCGTCGAGGCGATCACCGACGTGGGGACCAGCTTGGTGACTGCTGCATAGTTGTGGGACTTGGACAGGATGTTGGGTACAAAAGTTGAGCTTGGAGAGGTGGTTACTATTATCACCTGAAAGAAGAAAAAAAGAAGAACAACAGGAAATTCATTTGTCCTTCGCACGCGTTCAGGAGCATAAAAGTGCAGTTATGGGCCCGCCTGTGTATTTAGTTTTAGAGATACGTGATTATTAAGAGCATTTAAGAGTGTCATAATCACATTTGCTGGCAACAGAAAGTTTCAATTATTTTAAAGAAGTGGTGGTAAACATTTCCTCAAAATTAGAAGGATTTTTTTTTTTAAGGAAAACCATTACTGTGCAATTAAAATAGCATTATCTCATGTCTGAAGGCAAACAGACAGAAACGAACTGCTTGACTTCATTATACTGAGCCAGGAAGCCTGAAGCCCATTTTCAATGGAACTGAATGGAGGTTCAGCAAGATTTAAGCACCATTCTCCCAAACCTTGCACAAATAGCAAGAAATGGCAATGAGAGAGAATAGGTGATGGGGTTTTTCTCTTTAACAATTAACAAGCACTTGCTGAGCCAATAATGGGAAATATTTTTGACCTACAAGGCTGTAAACAATGTTTCATCAGTGCAAGAAAAATGGTTGAGGTTTGAAACATTTTCTGCTCTAATTAGTGCTCTCAGGAACTAGAAATTTTTCCTTATATGCCTGAAAACCATTTGTTTGAAGAGAATAAACATCATCCCAGTGCAAGTTACAATTACAACTCTATGAATCTGATCTGACATAGAAAACCAGAGAATTCATGACAAGATTGGAAGAGGTCTGTCCTGAAGCAGCTGACCTAGAAAACTAAGCCTTTATTATTATTTATTATTGAATATGGGGACAGTTTACATAAAGAAAACTTTTATTCTACTTATATGTACCTTCTTGTACTTACACAGTTAAAATAGGAAAAAAAGCACAGAAATACAACATATCTTCAGTTTACCATGCAAGAGTATTGAGAAATTATTTTAATAATGCAATTGTTCCAATAAAAATTTAGTTTATTAAAACCTTGAAAATATCAACTTATTAATGATTCCATGTAACAAGAGCAGACAGAACAAAACAGTACAGGAGGAGCAAAGAAACCTGGGTCAGCTCACACACAAAGCCTTACACTGCTACCCAGGGACTACTGAAACCTCGCCTGATAAAGAAATAATATGATAATGGCACCAAAAATACACTTAAGCAAAAGATTGAGCAGTTTATAATTTGTTTAAAGAAAAATGGAGGACAAAAATAAAAGGCAATAACCACGTGGACGGAGTAAGAGCAGCAAATTTCCCCACTGTGGCTATGGCTGCCTCTGCCTCTCCTTTTGCCCCAGGCCTCAGTTTTATGGTCTCTGCTCCTTAGCTCAGCCTTTCATGTCCTGATCTGAGGAAACCCAAAATCTCACTGTCCCCTGGAGCAGGCTGCCCACACCTGAGCAGTTCTCCCTGCGCCTTCCAGGGAGAACATTTCTTTGCATCAGTCTTAATCTCGCCTTCTGCCCAACCTGGATTTAATTAAAACCCCCTTCTCAAACTGCTCTTAGGCCACAACCATGCAGAGGAGCTGAACATGGCACAGCTTGGTTCTGGTGGGAGAACTGCAGGGGAAAATGTGGCTCTGGAGCTTTACCTGTTCCCTACACTGTCAGTTAACACCAGAAACACCTCCCAAGTGTCTGACTCAGGGTCAGCTCCATTCCACCCAGGGTAACTAACCCAGGAATACAGGTGTCAAAGGACACCCTGCAGTTACAAAAGGTAGGTTAGTGTGAATATAAACCACAGTGCAACAGGGCAAGTTCAGCATCTCTCCTAAGTACAGACACATAGAATGAATCTGGGCACAATCAAAGTCCTGAAGACCATTTTCTTCCTTCAGGGACAGAGAAAAACCATCAGTCCAAGACTATCACTTAAAAACACGTGATTTAATCATGCAAGGAGTAGGGCCTGTAAAGCACTGCAGCTCAGCAGTGACTGCTGTACCATGACTAAGCAGGTTTGGGTCTCTCTGTGCCATTTCATCTTTCAAAATTAACACAGCGGAACAAAGTTCAGTGAACTTCATGTGTGAAGTGCATCCAGAAAACAAAATTTGGTTAAAAATGTAAAAGCTCAAATCACAACTTTCATACTTCTGAAATACTGTTTTCTCACGTATATGTTGAAAGGATCAAAAGAATCTCTCTTGGTTACCAAAACTGCATGACATGTTTTACAGAGACTGCTTGGTTTTAAACATACACACACACACACAAAAAAAAAATCAAGTTGGCTTTTTTGTTGTTGACTGTAATTGTTACAGTAAAAACTAAATCCCAACATGCACTGAAATTAGTCCTGTCAGCTCCATTTTGACAGACATCCAAACCCAGTTCCTGAAAAATAAAGGCTCTGACTGCCAGGAACTTCACTAACTGGATTCCTTCTGTGTCCTAGACAGGGGACTTTATTATCAGACAATCCAGGAACCAGAGTTGTGACATTATTAGTTGTTACCACAAATCTGCCTTCACCCTACTAAAATGTCAAAGCAATTCAAAAAGCTGCCATGGAGAGACGAGGACCTTCATTCATATCCAAGAGCTCACAGTGAGCTTGGAAATGTGCTGCTGGATATGAGGGAACAAGTCTGACTTTCCACTGAAAACTACGGAAGGGGACTTCTCCCACCAAAACGATCCAGTGACATGTTTTGGTACATCTAAATCCAACAAAAGAGGGCAGTGTGACAAGTTCAGATACAAACTCTGCCCTGGCTGCCTCACCAAACCAGCACTGAGTTTCCTGTCACTGCAGATTAGTAGGAGTCAGATAATACTGTGCACAGCAAACCCTAAAATTCCCATGTCAGAACAGGCAGAGGCACAACTGCAGCAAACACCAACAGTCCATTCTTTTGGAGATTTAATACTCTCTGTCTTTAATTACCACGATATATAACACCCATACTTAATCCAACCCTACAGACATTTAAGGCAAAACAATTGTCTGTGCACAAAAGATGAGCCTAACGAGCAGCAGGACGGGTGGTTAAGCCCTGTAGCAGCTGTGGATTTGCTGCACTCAATGCAGGACATTTACTGGATGGTTTATGCTCACTCGTGGATTTCTATGAAATTTGATTAAGGACACTTATAGAACAGTGAATCAAATGAAAGCATCAAAGAGCCCTGGAGTGGGAAAAGGCCAGAGAGAGCAAGATCTTTATTGCACACTACTTCAGTTAATCTTACTTGGTTTTAAAGTTTCCAAAAATCGGGACATGGGAACCTGCTAATCCAAAGAGAGTCATAAAACAATTAAGACTAATAGAACAAACACCATGTGAAGGTTTGAGCTCAACAGTCAGTCTCTCACAGTCAGAAAAAAATGCTTGTTAGTGGCCAGCCTACCATCAGTCTGTCAGCATCGAGGTCAAATTAACTCCACAGAGACACCCCCCTCCCTGAAGTCTGCCTTAATTAATAACTGTGCCAAGAATGAACTTGGTCTGAGCCATTCATCTTTTTTTTTACATCTTAAGAACAGAAAAACAGACACATCTGATATGCTTCCTAAAGCATGGGAAAACAGTCGTGCCATAGATTAGGCACGTAAAAATCTGAGTCTAGTACACAACTTCAACAGGGAAAACCTTTCCCACACACTGCACCGTGGTGGAAGCTGGGCACACTCAGCTGAAATAATGCAACTGATTTTGACCACTGTTAATGCAGAATGAGAAATGGCACACTAGTACTGAAAGGAAAATAAAGCCCCCCAGTCTTTGATCAGCTCCAAGAATATGCTTTATAGAGCCAAGGAAACTAGCCTCTAGATAAAAAGCTTGGCAAGGGAAAGCCCATGCCATCTCTCCTGGAATTCTACTACTGCAAAGAATAATTATAAATAAGGAAAATAGAAATAAGAAAGATTACCTTTGACCAACAGTTGTTACCATCTGAAGGCTGTTCAGTGGCCTATGTGATCCAGTTCTCAGTGGACTAGTGTCCATATCACAAAACCCAACACCACAAAGGGTACTAACTGGCAACCTTGCTGGCAGTCTCACCAGAGAGGCCAAGAATTGAATGAGCATGGAGACTGAATCCCCTCTCATCCCTAGAAGTGGTCCCTTCAGGTCAGGGTTGAGGCACATGGCTGGGGCAGTCTGGGGGAAGCTTGCACTCCCGCTGCCTGTGCTGTACCTGTTCTGTGGATAAAAAGAGGGCTTCAGTCTCCACGGCTGTCAATCCAGGTCCTTTCACACACAGCTGAACTAAAGTCACACAAGAGCTCGGTTTTCTCTCGGTTCGGTTTAACGAGGGATTACCTTATCCCAAGGGCAATCCTTAAAAACCAGCCAGACAGTTCACAGAAAGGAAGAGTCAAACATCACATCTTACTCATTGACAGAAGCAGAACAGAGGAACATTTGGCAGCTTCCCCCACATACCTTCTGTGTTGTGGTGTTTGTCGTCTGCGTCGAGGGCTTCGTGAAGGTTATTTTCACAGGCGACATGTGTGGTGGCAGGGAGTTGGCAATGCTCTGCATTATGTTACTCATTTTGGGGCTGCCACTTACAGGCACTGTGATAGTTTTAGTGACAGGAGTCACTGCCTTCGGGACTTCTTTCAGGAGCACGGGGGAAGAGCTGGAGGAATTCGTTCGCCGCCTTTTGCGGGGCTTTTCATCGTCGTCCGAGCAGCTGACACCTGGAAAAGAAACACTTCTGCTGAGTTACACTGCCCCTGCCTGCAGCTCCCAGTGCTCCCCAAAACACTACACACTCCTGGAGTCTGACACCCTCTTGCAAGTAAGATAAAAAGGAACAGAGGGTAAATTACATCTCACGGTCACAACCAAGCTGGATCACACCTCAGACACTCCTAGTCCTTGGCACAGACCACACTCACAGTGCCAGGAACCAGAGGTTCCCTCCCAAAAACCCCAGCTGCTCAGTTACTGGGTTACTTCACTCAGGTTGACGGATTCAAAGAACACAAGAGCCAGCACAGGGATTTCATTCTGCCTCCAGAAGTTTGACTGATGAGGGGTTAGGGTTGGCACAATGCCATGCACATTTCAATTTAAAAACTTCTCACTGCATTGGTGGTGGTGGTGGTGGTTTTGTTTGCAGCAACTGCAAAGTTTATCCTCCTACAGTCTTCTTGATTTCAGCCTTTGCACCTACTTCCATGCCATGCTTATCCCTACAGTACCCTTCTCCCTTTCACCTCAATACAGCACCTTGAGATCCTTTTTTCAGTTTAACTATGAGGATTTAACCTCACTTTATCAGCTTTTCCCTTCTTTGGTGCATTTTGAGCAACAGATATAAAACGGATATAAAACACAGTCATGAAAAACAAACCAAGCCCAGGCTCAAAAGAGTTCCTTCTGCCTCACAAGCATCTACTGCACACATATAAAAAGAAACTGCTGCACTATTCAGTTCAGTAAAGGATAAAAGCATGATTAATGGATCTTAAACCCAAACGAAACTTTCCAAAGTAGGCAAGAGCTTCATAAGTTGGTCTAGATTACAGAAAGACACAAGTTAATAACCAAATTCTTACAGCTAGTGGGTAGCATTGAAGGCAGTGATTCTGAGATTTATGTTAACCAGTGTCAAGCTGTTTAAAAAAAGAAACCCAAACAACCAGAGAGAAGCTGAAGAGATGCAATCCTGCTTGTGCAGAAGACAACTGGAGATCCTGTTCCCTGTGCCTGGGGCTTGAAGACAAAAAGCCCCATCACAGCAAAGAGTAGCCTTGCTGCTGGTAACTCCAGCAAACTGGGTTGGCAGTCAACCTCTAATTAGAGTCAAGGTCTAATTATGGCCAATCTCTAATTAAAATCACATTCAAGCATTCAAAAAGTGAAGATGCAGGAATTAACATGGACAAGGAAGTGCCCAGTAGCACAGCAAGTAACTTCTGAGGAATGGGGTTCTGTGCCAGCAGGAGCCCCCTCTCCTCTGCAGGTCCCTCCCCAAGGACAGCAGCCATGCCCACAGAGGGACCCTGACCCAGGGAAGAGAAGCAAAGGCTTCGTTTGGAGCTGCCTTTGAACTCCAGCCCACAGTTGTGGCTGCAGCAGCACAAGGAAACTCTAACCACAATTTACTGCACCAGCCTCGTGGTGATCTCCCTCCACAGAGGAGAGGTTTGGTTACATGACTTCAGGGTTTATCATGGACAGGCTTTTAAGTATTACTCACATAGTGAGTGCACTATGCAAACTTATAACTGTGAGTGCACTAATCACACTGAACATGTGCAGGAGTTTCAGAACCTCAGAATCCATTTGAATCCAAAGTCCACAAGCAGCTGAAATGTTAGGACACAGCTGTTATTTTGCTGGGGCATCAAGAAATACAGAAGAGAGAACTATTTATTTGTGGTCCTCAACCACAAAAAAACCCCAAATAACCCAACAACCAACCAACCAAGAAGTAAGAAAGTAAGAATAAACTAGCAGAGCATTATTTTATGTTAAGCACAGCTCATTTCATCCCCTGTTTTCACTGCTGGGGTTCTGCAGGAACGTTTTTCCTTTCATGTCACGTTAGAAATTGCATTTGTACAAGGTCAAGCACAGGCATTCAGCTCAAAGGTAACCCAGGTCCACTGTAAGTCACCCCTGACAGGTGAGGAAGCAGAGGCAGGGAGGGGTTAATGGCTCAGTGAGGCTCTGGCTGGGGAGAGGGCACCCCACACACCAGTGCCAAAGGCAGAACTACAACTCACACCTCCCAAATTTGCTTCTGAGCAGCTTTGTGAAAATTAATGGGACTGATGTAACATTCTCTGACAGACACGTGATTTCTTAAAAACAAAACAACAAAATGAAGCACACAAAGTGGGGGAAAAATGAAATCTAGGGACAGGCAGAATAAAAATGATCAACCCTCTATCATGTGTCTAGACTGGTTTGATACTCATTACCATGTAATAATTCAATAGAGGACTACATTAAATTTTTAAGATGTTAAGAACATTCTCCCCTGAATCTTTAAACTGAAGCCAAGTGATTAGTGCATAAATCAGAAGAACCTTAATGCATTGGGTTCCCTGGGCTGACACAGCCACTAAGGATGGTGGTGTGCAGGTAACATTATATTTAAGTACAGTGTGACATTTCTGACTGGCTAGCAGCTTATACAAATGCACACATAGAGCAGAAAGACCGAAATAATTTAAAAAATATTAAAGATAACCACAGCAAGCATAAAAATACCACTTATAACCTTCGCTGTTAATCTTTCTTTGTCATTTTGACAGATACCAAATAAGGACTAAAGGAAACATTTTAATTATTAGTAAAATAAACTACGTACACTGAGGGCATACACATGAGGCTGCACTCTGCCTTTAGAACTAGCTGATTTATTAGCCAAACAAAGAAGGGGACACAATGGCACAAAAAAAAGACTGTTTCTATTTCCAAATTTAAATACATGAAGATGGGAATCTGGTTGGAATTCATATGAAGCCTTCACAGTTGCCCAGGAAGGCAAGTCTCACTAAGACTGACTTCCAAATCAATCACAAAATGGCCAGACATAGTCAATATGTAAGCACATAAATGCCTGCCAAATTGCATCCTAAAAAAAAAAAAAGGTCTGTGTCAACTGTGAAAGTGGAAAGGAGGGACCTTTTCTAATTCAAGGAAGTGAATACTATGCATTATTGAAGCAGAGTGAAGAGGGAAGTCCTCTGCAGAAGCAACCAGCAGAGCCACCTTAAAGACAAGTTCTCAACAAGATGGATTAGAAATCCACTGATACACAGCAATTTCTATATTTTATTTTCAAAATCTCTTCCCCTCTTGTTGTCCTTGCAGCATTACTGCTCCCTGCAGCATTCTGCTGCCAGCGGATTCATCCTGAACACAATTTCTCAGGAAAAGGGAAGCAATAAATTCATTCTTTGACCTAAACGAAGGCACAGAGGCCTTCAGTGACTTGCCCAGGGTCCGAGTGTTTAACTCAGTCTGTGCTCCAGCCCCCAGACTGTCCCTTTCCTTCCCTCTGGTGCAGCAGGTGCTGGGATCACTTACTTTTGACGTACACAGCACTTCCACTTGGCAAGACGACTACACTGGAGGCTGGGCTGGCGGGCCTGGGGGACTTCACTGTTGCTACACTGCCACTTGGAACTGGGGTGGATGTTGGGGTTGAAGTGGTACTTGTGTAGGAATAGCAAACCACCACTGAAGAGGAGAAAAGACACCTTCCATACAACTGCAGTGCAGAATCCCATTATTCTGTCGCTGTGTTAACAACTGAAATGGAAGCCAGAGACTCACTGGGTCATTACCCCCATTCCTACCTCTGCAATCCTGGCACTGTGGAATGCTCCCCAGCTTCAGCTAAGCATGGCCACGGAGCTCAGGGCCTTCAAAGACAACACAGAAATCTAACCTCCCTCCTCCTCCCACCCCCAGAAATCTGTGCTGCCAACGTGAGCTTTTTTGGTATTTATCTGATGTTTTACTTCATAATTTGTTCTTTTTTACTTTAGAATTAATTCAATGCTTTGATCTTTCTGCTTTTCTGTAAACAACCATATCTAGACTTGTAACTGATAGAAAAGTGCTGTTGCCTCTCCCCAGCAGTACACCAGCTGAAACAACCAAAATATTCCTTTGGTAAGGAAGACTGATTTTGCTAATCAGCTTTTTTAAACCATTGCTTATATGTAATAATACAGTGATGCAGTATCTCACAAAAGCAGGATGAAACAGCCTGTTTCCAAGAAGTGTTACACATGTTCCAGTTGCATAAAGCACAATTCAGGCCTGTTCAGCCAAGCCAGCTGGAATGTGTACCACCATTATTTCAAAGGCATAGGGAAAGCAGAAAACAACCTTTTAAAGTGTTACCTTAGTATGTCTGATCTGAAAAAAAAAAAACCAACCACACAAACAGAAAACCAAACCAACATTTTCTTGACTTCCACCAAAATCCACTTACATTCTTAAAACAAAGTGTTCTGAAGTGCCTTTGATCACTTACAGAACTCTACCAAATCTTAAGCCACTGGTACAAGTTTTTAAAGCTTACAGAGTTGAAGAAGTTAATCGGTGAATGTTCCCTTCATTTCCTGACAAACTGGGATTTTTTTGCCTCAGTTGCTAGTATGCTTACCAACACAAAGCTGCCAGATTTATGCTGCAGAATACTGGAAAGGTATCTTTAAAAAAAAAGGGTTTTTTTATATTTTCTGTGAATAACGTTTGATAAGAAAGATTCGGGATTTTTTTTTTTTCATTGAATCAGAAGGGTTTGTGCTGGAAGGAACTTTAATAAGGTTCATCCAGTTGCACCCCCTGCCACGGGCAGGGACACCTTCCACTAGCCCAGGTTGCTCCAAGCCCCGCCGAACCCGGCCTTGCAATACCACCTTTGATTTCTAACACCGATTTCTGCCGTGACGTTATCCCTACGCTGCCCCGGGTCACAGCAGGGTCCCCTGTGCCCCTCACCTTCCTTGCTGCCGGTGTCTGCAGGCAGGGGGAGGGAGGAGTTGTGCTGCACGGCGGCGTTGGCCACGGCGTTGGCGGTGACGGTGAAGGCCGTCTGCGGCACCAGCCGCGGCATCAGCGGCACCAGGCGACGGCCCTCGATGGACCACTCCGAGGAGCTGTTGGGGCCAGACATGCTGAACAGAAAGGCACATCCTGTAAGTCTTTGCCCAGTTTCTGAATGCTCAGGATTCTTATTTAAGTACCTTCCCCCCCCCCCCAACGGTGAAAGTCTAAAAGGCAGTTCAGGACATACTCCAGCGCTAACGTTCAACTTTCTTTGTTTCATGAGGGCCCTCACCTCTCTCAGCCAACACAGAAAACCTCCCACATTAAATTGAAGAGGTGATTCTTCTCTTACTGTTTTGTTTTACAGGGCTCAGAAGTGTGTGGGCATCACACTCAAACTCCCTTATTAGGTTTGCTACTATTCAGGCAGAGTTGGTACCCTCTACTTCTGGATAGCAATACCTAGAAACCCAACAGATTTCATAAAAGACTCCTGAAATGGACTATGTTACAGGGAAAAGCCCTCAGCTTCTAATGCTAATCTTGTTTTGGCTGAACAGGAGAGTTCAAGACTTTACCAAAGTAGTCCCAAACAAGGTGACAGAACATGAAATTATTAAAATACACCCTGAGCATCTTCCTAAGCAGAAACCTGTCTCCTGCTACCACTTGCTCTTGCCTTAGTACTTACACACAAACTAGAATGTTTGTTAAAAATGCTGTTCTTACCTAAGTGGAGAAGTGTTTCTGTTTATGACTATTTTACACGAGTCATTTGTCAAATCAGCAAAACCAAAATGGTAAATTGTTTTCCAATGCTGTAGTGTTCTTAAGCAAATCAACCCACTTAATATATTAATATATTCTGAAGAACAACTTCTCACATGAAATATTGCAAGCAAGTTGCAGCAAAAACTACTACAAATTAGTCTGTAAAACACACAGGATCTGCTCTGTTGTTAAATCTCTATATGCTTCAGCATTCTTCATACATATTCATGCAGTACAAAAGGAGTTTCAAGAGCTGAGGTAAAAATACATTTTAAAACCAAACAATATAGAGTACAAACATTCCATATAGTAAAGCTAGCAAAGTCAGCCTTCCTAATGAGTTGAAGAATGATAGAAATCAAATACTGTATTACCAACCATCACTCACAAGGAATTACCACAGGAAAGATAAAGAGAAGCAGCACTTCACAACTGCACTTTGTCTGGATTATAACATCTCACTGAAGTGCAACACCTCAGGGCAAACTATGCATGATCTGTAAAATGCTAAGACCAGAACTACTAACTTAAAAAGAAAACCCAATTCAAGAAAAGAATCCTGATTTGACAACTACATGCTTATTTTTCACTATTTTTTCCCCCTTTCTTAAAGATTGTTAAGTAACTCTCAAAGGGACATAACTACTTGTTCTCTTGCTCCCCTGCACCTCTCAGAGGTCCTTTCTACTCTGACCATTTCTCCCCTCTGTGCTGATGCACTGCTTTCCACTCATCTCTTCCACCTCTTTCCCCTCCCTTTGTTTTTCCTATGTAGCTAAGTCCCTCTTAACATAACCTTTCCAAACGGATTAAAACAAAACTAAAGGCAAACCAAGAAGTGAGTAATAAGGCAAACATGTTCATCCTGCTTAGGAACTTCTCTGTTTCCTCCATTCTGTTTCTTCTGGTCTGTCTTACAGAAAGCTTTTCATGCCACCAGACTGTGTCTTACATTGTACTTGTACAGTGCATGGGACAGCCTCAGATCCAAAATCTAACTGTACTAAAGAACTGCTTCTACTCCTTGATGTAGACCTGACACAGCAATTCTTTCACCCACACACTGTTTTAACTACTGTTCTTAAAACCACCATGGATCTTCAAAGTCCCATCATTCAGCTGAGGCCTAATGGGTTTTTCCAAGGGGTACTCGTGGCAATCAGGGCACCAAGGCCCCGTGACTCACTTGTGTGCGATGGTGGTCAGCCGCTCATCATTCACCGCCCGCCGAACCTCGGCGCGGTGTCGCTCCGTGGAAATGCTGTGGAAAACCAGCCATTTATTTCAGTCAGGGGGAGACATGAACATTTATCTAAAAGCTCCAGCTGAAATTAAACTTATGATTAATCTGCCTCAGAGAGGAAAGAGAGCAAGCATTTATGTTCAAGAGATCGTCACTTAACTTCCGCGGTCACAGGGAGAAAGGGTGAACTGTATTATTGCTCCAAAACATTACTGAGGAACAAAAAGAACATTACTGCTTACAGGGTATCCCTGCAAAATAGCCAGAATCCAACCTCCTAATGGGAGCAACAAATTTAAAGGATATGGCAGAAAAATTCACCCAGAACACGCAGCTTTTGTTCTTGAGGCACCTTGTGCTCCAAGACCTCGGAGTCCTACCTTGACAGAACCCCAAGCCAGCACACACCCATGAGCTGGCTGCAGTCCTCTAACACTGCCACAAAGCACCAAAGAAAAGAAAACAGGCCGTGGCTCTTGGTTTAAAGAGGTCAGGGTTACCTAAGCACTTTGGAGAGTTCTCCCAGAAGATCCTTCTTCTCCTTCGTGAGGTCTCCCTGCGCACGTAAGGCACTGATGACACCTGCATAGGCCTCCAGCTCTGAGGGGAGAGAGCAAAGGGTGGTTCTATTTAATGCTCACAGCACAGGGGAAAAAAAACACACACTGTTTTCCTCATTACTGACAGCATTCTATTAATTTTCAAAATCATTAAGAGGAACATGTCTTCCAATTATTTAGTGCTTTTCAAAAGAGATTGATGAGTTAGAGCTCTCTCAGTCAATTACTCTGCAGCATGAAGCATTTCTGTGAAACAACTGTCTCATCACAGAGGATTATCTGGTTTATAAACCCAAGTGAATATGTCAAGCTCTCTCTGAGCTGACAGTTCAGGCAAAAAGCTTGAAGAAACCGTCCCCCAGTTTGGAGAGTAGCTCAGAATTCTCTAGGAGTAGGAGAAAGAAATCTTTTAACATGTATCATTATTACAAATTCCATAGCAAAGCTTGGCCTGGAAAAGAAATACACTATCAAAAGAGCAACTTGATTTTTGGTAATGCCTTTCCTTAATTAGCATGGAGAACATCAGCTCCAGTTTGTTAAATACGATCATCATAATCTTTTATCCCCATTTACTTGATATGTGCAACTGCTTGCACCTGAAAAGAATGCAATACACTGAATTAAACCTGCTCTCAAAAGAAACAATCCAGCTCTTCTGAAACTTAGAGCCATCACAAAGACTAACTCACAAAAACGCAACTCTGATTTACAGGAAATTTGTAATTCCAGGTAACTGTGATGTCATGCCATTGGTGTTCTAAAAAATACAACAGGAAAAGATACTGAAACTTCTGAATTTTGTCCTACTGAGCAGGGTGAAGATACACCTAATGCAAATAATGGAGCCTGCTAATTGGCCAAAGAATAACTTGCTATTCTCAGCTTCACACAGTTCAAGGAAACGTTCATCAAAACTCCTGCTTTAAACCAGAAATACAAATTCTTTTGGATCCTTACATACATTTGACTCGACATACTTGACATACATGTGCCTCTCATTTGACTCGCCCATTTCAGCAACCAACCTAAACCAACCCCACAACAGATCCCAGCTAACCAAAACCAGGAATAAAAGGTGCAGGCCAAAACCTCACACCTCTGAAGTTTGCAAAAGCAAAGACTGATGCTGTTCTGAAAAGCTTTCAGTTCAGGATTCCAAAGAGCTAATTTACAAATCAAATCAGGCAATTGTGCTGAAAAGAAGTCCTGCTCTCCTGTCCTGCATAAGCAGCCAGAACACAAAGCAGAGTCACTCTGGTTAACTATGCAGCCTGCACAGGGATGCTGAGTGACCTACAGAAGCATTTGAAGCTTCAGTTATAAAACATTTGCTAATTAATGCGATGGTTATTACTAATATCAACATTTATTTAGACAAGCATGTTACAATATTTAAGATACTAATGATTTTCCTCTGTTAACAACTTAAAGTAATTCTCAGCCACAACCATATAATTATTTAGCAAGGATAGACTTTTTTTTTCCCTTCTGCATTATAAATAGAGATCCTCTACACTAGAGCTTTAAAAATACACATTCTGGTCTTTTGGAAGGTAGTGAAGATTACAGAGAGCTGTTAACCAGCTTGTGTCTGTGCAGCAATCACTAACTGGGGCGCTCTCTTTCCAACACAGAACACATCAAAACCCAGCCAAAACAGGTTTCCCAAAGAAATATCATAATTTTCCAGTGGGAGGTGCCACCACCACCCAGCTCAGTGATAACCAGGAGCAGCAGCAGGTACCGCACACCTCAGGATGTGTCCCAGCCTCACCTACTTGACTCCTGCTGGAGTAACCCCGCTGCTGCTGAACCATCAGCCCAGTGGGATGCTGTGCAGAGAGTTGGGAAAGCAGGGCTCTGGGAAGCAGATGGATGTTGCTGGATGTGAGGGTCAGGGCCCTGCAGCCTGTCTGCAGGGAGAGCTGCTCTGCTCTGCCTCAGCCCTGCCCCGCTGGCAGGGCCCCCTCGTGGGGACACGGCTCGTGCCAGCAGAACAAAAAAAAAAAAGGGATTCTTTTTTTTAATTTTTTTCCCCTTCCTGTCGGCCCAGGTTATGTCAGTGAGGGAGGAGTAGCTGCAGCCCTGCTTGGCTCAGCTGCAGGGCAGGGCTGTGCCAGCACACCCGGCAGCTCGGGGGGAGGGTTTTTCCGCGCTCCCGGCCAGTACAGCTCCAGTCACAAAACTCAGGAGTGCACATCCAGCCCAAAGCCTTTGGCATCCTGCACTTGCTCCTCGTTTTTGTACTTCTGAAGCCTTGCTTGAGGCTCAGGGCTGTCACCTTAAGAGATGCCCATCTTATTGCAGGGCTGAGTGCGACATCTGTGCCACCCTTTCAACAGAATACACATCCCACATTCCCAAGGAATGAAATTAAAAGGGCAAAGGGAGGGAAAATAAACTCTCAACTCTCAAAACATCAAGTGGATGGCTTCAAAACGTGTGGGAACCTTGGCACAGCTAGGAAACACAGCACATCATCTCTGAGCATTCAAGCAAAATGAGAACAGGAAAAGCTGTCACTTGATGGTCACAGGAAGTCAGAGGGAGCTCAGCTTTCTTCCTGACATCATCTCCAACATCATGGTCCTCAGAGTGAAATCTCAAAAGAAATCTCAAAAGAAATCTAAGGCTTTTTTTCTTCCCTTCTAGTATTATACATCATTTAACTGGCAAGAAACCCCCTTAATTAAATAAACTCAGCCCCAAGAACTCAAAACCAACTGTTCTGGATCTGACCAAAGGTCTAACAAAGGATTCTCTCTCCTGTGCCAGCCAAAAGAGGATGCTTGAGGAAAGAGCAAACGTTTTTATTACTTTACAAAATACAAAAGCATCTCTCCTCATACACACAGACCCACGAGGGCAGAGCACAAAACCACGTCCCAGTACCCATGCCTTGGGCAGGGGGCTCAGACACTGAGCTACATTTGAAACAATACAAAGAGCTCCTGTGGCTGTGGCAGCTGAGCCAGGACATGGTTCTCCCCCTGCCCTGACGTGTGTCACTGCAGATCACAAACCAGCACCATTTCTTTCCCCCCCTGTTTTAAGTCTCCACAGTAGTAACTTTAACACTTGAACTCAGTCCTACAGTGCCAGTTAAGCCAGGGTTCCACGATATATTTTTTGGGTACAACAAGGTGTCTAAACACAGAACTGGGGGAAGGGGGGGGGAACAAAACAAAAAAGAACCCCAAAGACTCTCCTCTCACAGAGCATCTTGTTGCATGATAACAGTGGCAAAAAAAACCTCAGCAGTGCAACACTGCAACCAGGACATCCACGGGAGATTGGACCAAACCAAAACCACTCCCCTCCATTCACTTTGCTGGGGCTGAGAGTATCTACCAAACCTCATTTTAACATTTTGAGCCAGGGCTGTCAAACCAATGACACGTGGAAGATGCAGGACACTGCTTGCAAGTTGCCTGTAGGTGTATTATTCCATGGAAGCAGCAGGCAGGCAAATCTCAGAAGGGCAAACACAGAGAGCCACAAATTGCATCTTACTGTACCCAGTTTGCGCAGGATCCTCTTGCACTCATCCCTGCTGAGGTCCAGCAGGGTTGGCCACACCACAGGCATCCTTCCCTCGCGTCCCTGCTCCCACACAGCTCAGCCTCGCTGGAAAAGGAACAGAAACGCTGTGAGCCCAAGTCCGTAACGTATCGATTTCCCAAGCCGATGAACGCGGGCTCCTCTCAGCCCGCTCCCGACTCCCGGACACGCTCGCTCCATCCTTTGCAACGGCCCGCAGGAGTCCGGCAGTTTCCCGAGGGTACGGACTTCCTACACCCTCTCGCTCAGATCATCGCCCGAGCCTTTTTACCGAGTTCCCCGCCTCCTCCTCGAGGCTCTTCCCCGCCGCTCCCGGGATCGCCGCTCAGCCTCCTCCCCCTCGTTATGCACAAGCACCTACTGCGGGAACTCTCCCGCACGCTCCCCTTAGCCCCGGGGCACGCATTTTGCACCAGCCCATTATACGGCAGCGTGGCAAAAGCACCGTG